GCGTCAATGATTGCCAAGCACCCTGCTCAGACCAAGAGACAGAGGCACAAACACAATGTAAGCCTTTGTAATGGATAAACGTCTGGGTAGCATATAAACAACCACCAGCCCAAATCTGCCTATATATTAAATGATTATTAATTTAACAGTATTTGGTGAGTGACAGTTCCCTCCAAGGTATTGGCTCTCAAAAACTGTCAAATAGCTGGCATTTTGACAGAAGTCTGTAGTTCTTAGTAATGTTTATGCCTGTTAAACAACTAATAAGCAAAGCATCTCCTATACAACCTGTTGAAATGCCATAGGTGTTCCCATTCCTGTGCCTACAGATAACTCCTGTGGTAAGATTTGTAGACACAGACAAAAGACTACATACTGAGGAAGCTAAGGAGGAGAAGAAGTTAGAGAACCAAAAATACTTCTCAATAGTGAGACGTAGTCCTTTATGGAAATAGTGAGAGTTGACTTTTTTTCTTATCCTCTTCTGAAAATGGCTGCATTTTATTTGTACAAAAACACTTAGTTTTCGAAACACATGACAGATAATAAATGCCCTAGAGCGGGGAGCCGTGCTCTGGTAAAATGCTCTCTGTGGGGTCAGTCACAGTGGTATACCATTAATGCTTTACTCGGGCACTTCCCAAAGGGGTGATTCTTAGCAAGTTATTTAATGTCTCTGAATCTTAGTTTTCTCAGCCATGAAATGAAGATAATTAATTTGCAGTAGTGTGTTCAGTATTTAAAGCATTTAATATAAATGCTGCTCACCTATAAAATGGTTATTGTAGAGATTAAATGAGATAATAAAAGTGAAGTACTTAATAGAGAAGTAGTAAAGTGAATGGCAACACTCAATAAATAATGGTAGTTACTTTCATTCCAATCATCATCATCATCATCTGCTAGACAGAAGGTCCTCAGTGTTTCACGTGCCATTAACTAGAATACCTGGGATGCTTATTTTAAACCAATCAGGCTTCCAATCCAGTCCCTGACCAGATGAATAAGAATCTCTAATGAATTTCAGAGTATATGACGTGATGAAGCACACCTGGTCCTGTTTGAGGCTTCACTTCTTTGTATAAAGGGATAGTATCTGCTTTAGAAACTGCCTAGCGCATGCTGTACACTGAATCAATCAACAGCAGTTGCTGTTTTGTAATACGCTACTTATTATTATCATGGAAGTCAAGGATCATCTTGGTTCAGAACTGCTTTCATGGGAAATGATTGTCGTCTTGTTTCATAAAGAACATTTTCCTGTTTATATACCACAAATTCAATTTAACCATACCTTTCTAATAACTTACTTTGATTCTAGGAGCCACTGCTCCTTTTTTTCTTATTTTAAGCTGGTTTGTCAAAGGTGAGATTGTCATGAGCTTGCAACTTTTTGGTGTTTTTTTAAGATTTATTTATTTATTTGAGAGGCAGAGTTACAGATGAGAGATGGAGAGACAGAGAGAAAAGTCTTCACTCCCCAAATGGCCACAATGGCCAGAGCTGGGCTGATCTGAAGCCAGGACTTTCTTCCAGGTCTCCCATGCCAATTCAGGGGCCCAAGCACTTGGGCCATCTTCCGCTGCTTTCCCAGGCCATAGCAGAGACCTGGATCAGAAGAGGAGCAGTCGGGAATTAAACCAGTGCCCATATGGGCTGCTGATGCCAAAGGCAGAAGCTTTACGTGCTACACCAGAGCGCCAGCCCCTCTCACCTATTTTATAACTGCCAGAACTGTATAAAGAGTCCAGGAGATATTGGATTACATTGAATACTGGCCTGGACTGAGGGTTTCTGTTGGGGTCTTAAGCCTGAGACTGGCCCCTGACCAGCAGGGAACAGTACAAGCACTCCCTGACAAGGCGAATGGGAGAGGTAAGGTCCACAGGTCAAGCACACCGCAGCAAGTACCCGTGAATTCTGTCGAAGCAGGAACTACTTTGTTGAGGAAGTGTACAGGCTTATAAAGCTTACGAAAGACATGCCCAGTAAGGGAGCCAATCAGGAAAAGGTCATGCAGGCATGGGTGGACCACGCACAGGGGCATATAGGGATCAGGCACTGTCCACGTGTCAGGAACTAAAGCAGACCTATCGCTGCAGGTGGTCTGATCTCAGGTGACTTAACCGCAGCAGCCGCAGACATGCCCTCCAAATATCCGCCCGGTGCCATGATGTTAGGGACTATTTTAGGCAATGCCCAATAGGTTTCTAGGGCCATATTAGGAAAGTTGAAAACATGGAAAAAGGGCATCTACCCTTCAGGACAGGCATTTTGCTTCTCAGGATTAGTTAGATAATATATACTTCTTAAAGATTTATTTATTTATTTGGAAATCAGGGTTGGGGGGGAGGGAGACATCCTATCTGTTGGTCTCCAAATGGCTGCAATGGCTGAGGCTGGGCCAGACTAAAGTCAGGAGCCTGCAACTCCATCCAGGTCTCCCATGTTGGTACAAGGACCCAAGAACTAGGGTCATCTTCTGCTTCTTTCCCGGGCACATTAACAGTGAGCTGGATTGGAAGCCAGGACTCTAACTGGCACCCCTATGGGTTGCCAGCAGTTCAGGTGGCAGCTTACAGCACTGAACTACAATGCCAGCTTCAAGGTAGAGAATATTAATGGAAAATGAGGAACTCAGAATTCTGAAAATTTGCTTGTTTAGTACATGAAATATACTTTAAAATCAGGAGGCTGAAATTTAAATAAAATTTCACATGTGGGGCCGGCAATGTTGCTCACTTGGTTAATCCTCCACCTGTGGCGCCAGCATCCCATATGGGCGCCGGGTTCTAGTCCCGGTTGCTCCTCTTCCAGTCCAGCTCTCTGCTGTGGCCCAGGAGGACAGTGGAGGGTGGTCCAAGTGCTTGGGCTCCTGCACCCACATGGGAGACCAGGAGGAAGCACCTGGCTCCTGGCTTCAGATCGGCACAGCGCTGGCCACAGCAGCCATTTGGGGGATGAACCAACAGAAGGAAGACCTTTCTCTCTCTCTCTCTCTCACTGTCTATAACTCTACCTGTCAAATAAAAAAAAAAAAAATCATGTGAAAAAGATACTCTTTAGCAAGACAAAGAGCTCTAGACTAATCATGCTAATAAAATGTTGGTGATATATAATCAGATAAAATTTTACAGTTTTGATTCCAGTATAGTTTATAATATTTGCAAGTAAACAAGCCTTTTAAAAACCATTGCTTATTAGCAAAAATCCCATGGTTGTACCAGAAATTCATTTTCTTAATTGAAAATAACTGTTTCTTCATCAGATGAAGATAGTTAAGCAAATGAATAAATAGAACTTTAGATTTCTAAAAAAGCTAAGGCGTCTTGAGTGGTGGTGTGCTTGATGTGGGTTGTCAAATTGAGGGTATAATTTGTTTCCACTTTGTTTTATAGATGTAGCTACCTCTCTGCAAGAGAGGCATTTATTGAAAATCACATGGACTAGGAGTCAAGTGAAAGGCATTCTAGTCATCTTTGTCACACTCTAACTAGTCACATGTCAAAAGGCAAGGAAATGAGATCTTTTTTATTTGTCATATTGTTTCTGAAATTGTTGGATGGGAAGGTGACTGGGGAGTCAGCGTTCATCATGCCTACCTCCTGGACTTGTGAGAATATTGCCATCGAGATAAACTTCTTTGGAGAGACAAATGTGCTATCTCTTCACACCTCGTGTTGATGGATGTAACATATGCTTTTTGTTTAGTGGGTTTTCTTGGTGAGTGGGCAAATTTGTAAAATAGTACTATTCAATAACTTGTATTGAATGATTCCTTGTTTAGCACTGTTTACAGTTTTAAAAGTATTTATTCAATGTAGTTGTATGTTTACCTGTCAGGATAATATGTGTGTTTTGTATTAAAATTCAACATTGTCCTATGACTTGAAAGCATCATTATCATAGAGGACTTTTTTTTAAATACAAAGTCCTATCCCTGTCAACTATACAGTTATGAGCACTCAGTAATTATTGAATGAATGAAAGCATGCCTCTAAATGCATTATACATGTAAAATACAATAATTTACATTTATATCTACTCCTCAAAACTCCTGGAGTTAATGCTGTTTTGTGTTTTTGGTGTTTTTATTTTTAAAATTAGATATGTTATGAAATCAAATTTAGGCCCGCACCGCAGCTCACTAGGCTAATCCTCCATCTGCAGCACCAGCACCCCAGGTTCTAGTCCTGGTCGGGGTGCCTGATTCTGTCCCAGTTGCTCCTCTTCCAGTCCAGCTCTCTGCTGTGGCCCGGGAGGGCAGTGGAGGATGGCCCAAGTGCTTGGGCCCTGCACCCGCATGGGAGACCAGGAGGAAGCACCTGGCTCGGGGCTTCGGATCAGCACAGCGCGCCGGCCTCAGCGGCCATTTGGGGGGTGAACCAACTGAAGGAAGACCTTTCTCTCTGTCTCTGTCTCTCTCACTGTCTAACTCTGCCTGTCAAAAAAAATAAAAAAATCAAATTTAGAGATTGTATATATGAATATTGAAAAAGTGATCACTCATTTCTTCATGACCCCTTGTCTTCTGATTTAAAACTCAAATATATTGTAATTCAAATTCAAATATCTTATACAGGAGAGGATTCTGAGAGCATTCAGCACTGAGCTGATCATTTAAGTGATCTCTTTATTTGTCAGTTAGATTACAATAGAGTTATGTGATGATGTGTCATAAAATGAGATTCATTAGCAGATAAACCTAGATTCAAGACCAAACTATACCACATCCTAGTTGCAAGAGAATGTATGCTATTCATTTTTAAGAATCTGTTCTTGATGTGAGCCTAATTATATTCTTCCCTAGTAGGGAAGATATAGCATGGATTAAATGTGGTATTAGACTTCAAATGCTTATCATGCTGTTTAACACATAACAGCCTTGAGCAGTGCCTTACTGTGAGTAGAAGTTCTCTGCTAAACAGTTATTCTTTCTGTCTTATTTGTCATGTTTGTTTGTTTTGTGTGTCCCTGTGTGTATGTGTTTACTTTTTCAGATGGATACACAACTGACGACATTGAGTTTTACTGGCGTGGGGATGATAACGCAGTAACAGGCGTAACAAAGATTGAACTTCCACAGTTCTCTATCGTAGATTACAAACTTATCACCAAGAAAGTTGTTTTTTCCACAGGTTTGTATCAGGGGAAAGGGTTAAGACGGTGGAATCTGTATTCTGTTTTGTCATAAGGGTTCACTTAAATCAGCGTACGTCCCAGGAAGAAGAATGACTCTGGAAGACATAGATCAGCTAGAAACCTGCAGTTTCATTTGGAACCCGTACCATTGTTTCTCAGAAGACACCCCAAAGCTGAGAGAGTCTCCTGTATGTCTCTCATTTGCCAAAGAAGGGTATGATTTTTAGATACAGAATACAAAAAACAGAGAAAAAAAGAAACCCTGAGTCAGAGTTGTTCACAAACTTAAATCATCACACAGAATTGATCATAATTCTTTGAAAAATCCTGGATATAAACAAGGTGCATTTCCTCAAGTCAGACAACAGTGATATCTTCTATAAAGACAGTAGCATAGGAGGACTTTACATTTTTTTCTCAGAAGCCAATACTTTCTTCACACAGTTTCACTCCTTTTTGAGCTAAAAGCCCGCCTTGTAGAGATCATCCTGATACCTTCACCACTTAACCCTTCGAGCATGCAGATGAGACTTTATTTCAGCAGCACGTTTCTATTTTTATATTTTTTATCTTTTTTAGAAGAGCCCAAGAGAGTAATCATTTTCTTTATACTTATTTAGGAGTAAAGGAAATATCAAGCACAAACGAATATCCCTCTTTATGTTTTTCTTACTGGAGAGTATCACAGGCACAGAAATAGCTAATGTAAACCATCTTCAAAAGGTTCATGAAATGTATATTATGAAAGAACTATGCACCGTTTTCAAAAATATTCACTCCAGATTAAACTTCTCTTTTAATTCCATTGTCCCAAAACAACTTTTTGAAGTATCTTCATACTGTACCTGAAGATTCAGATTTATTTTCCAGTAAGGATTCAGATATCTCATGGGCCCACAAAGCATGTCAAACATGACTTCTCTGACTTGGTAAAAATACCAAGTTGCTTATAGATAAAAAGAGAAAGAACATCAGAAACTTTTCTAAATTTGGGGGCCTCTCAATTCCTAAAACTTTATGGAAATGAGTTTCTAAACCGTTCTTACTTTCATGTTGAGTCACTTGGCTTAGCCCAAGAGGACCAGACAAGGAATCTTTCTTAATGAGAAAGTCCTCACCCCGACTACGTATCAGTGCCAACTTCCTGTATTCCAAGAATGTCTGCTGTTATGTATCTTGTCTAAAGGACAGTTCCTCAGATCACCACAGTGAAGGGATCAAGACTTAGGAAACCAGTTTTTCAATTTTATCTCCCACAAATATCAGTCAAAAGCAGTGATTATTTTTCTTGGTAGATCAGAAATCCCATTAGAACTCTAATGACAACAATGAAATAATCAAGAAAAAGAACACCTGCATAGCATACATGGGAAAATCTACATAAACTTGTATTCTCTGAAGCCTCGTCATTGATCAGACTTCAGATGCACTTTGTGGCTAGTGAAGAGTTTTTTTTGTTTGTTTGTTTGTTTGTTTGTTTTAACTCCGGTTACAGTATGCAGTCTTATTCTTCTATAAGATAAACCTTAAAACTCAATGAGAAACCATTGAGAGAGTGAGTAAAGGGGTTGTCCCAAGTTGTCATGCCATCACAATTGCAGATAATCATTATTATCCAGTCTATGAGTCTGAGAGGCGAAGAGCTGGAATTAATCTAAATACTGGTGGGTACAGGATGAATTCTGCACTGCGTAACTTCTGCTAATTAGAAACCCAGTGCTTTAAATGGTTTTCTAGACGAAAGTGTCCGACACCAGCAGTTACAATTTAATTCAAGAAAGATTTACAAACTGCATTTGACACTTTAAAGGAAAGAATTGTATAAATATTCATTGGTAATAATGATGTTCTGAAATTGCCTTCCTAGGTTCCTATCCCAGACTTTCCCTCAGCTTTAAACTTAAGAGAAACATTGGCTATTTTATCCTGCAAACGTACATGCCTTCCATCCTGATTACTATCCTCTCCTGGGTCTCCTTCTGGATTAATTATGATGCTTCAGCTGCAAGAGTGGCACTAGGTAGGCATTTTCCAACTTCCTTTGGAGTGTGTGTGTGTGTCCCTACACATGTGTGCGCATGCTTTCCTTACCCTGGAATGTGTGACATATGACAAGAGTGGATCTCATCTATGACAAGAACTTAGCCATGAGGCTTTGGGTGATCTGATTCAGCAGTAAATCAATTAAACACAAATTAAAACTGTTCCATGTCAAAATTAGTTAACCATATAGCTGGCGGTAATGAAATTATTCCCATCAGTTTGATGTTTTTATTGAAACATATTTCATGTAATATTGCTTGCATAATTATTCAATTTGTATCTGTGCTTCTTTATCTGAGAGGAGCTCCCTTCCATTATTCTTCCTGAGCAAGAGACAAGGGCATGTGGTGTATAGGGAATAGATAATCACAAAGAATTGTAAAATCTTAATAGCATTTTCATGTAGTATAACAGAGAGCAAAAGGCAACATATTAAGAATGTTGGGAAATCACCCCGGGCTTTGCTCATCTTTTGCCTAATATTTTTTGACTTATAACTCCAGAAAAGGAGAATAAGTTGTATATCATGAAAATTTTTATTAGTTATAAATAAGTAAATTTATAACCTTTTATACAATCTTTATAATTTTGAGTTCCTATTATTCCTTTTTAAATATTGAATTATTAATTAATTCACTGTGACGTTTCAACTCAATCAGCACTTTCTTAGAAAAGTAATTCATTTCTTCATTCAACAAAAATTTGTTCAACACCTACTATGTGTGCTGGGCACTGGAAGTATAGAAGTCCCCTCTGGAAATTATACTCTAGCAAAAGAAGATAGGGAATACACTTAATAACCATGCAAATTATATAACAGGGTAAAACTGTCAAAGTAAATAAAAAGGCAAGAGAGCTTGGATATACCAATGATTACAGTTTAGAATAATCAGGGTAGAACTCACTCAGAGGTTGTATTGGAACAAAATCTTAAAAAGCCGAAGAGCCATATAACCTGTCTGGGTGATGATGGGCCAGACTACTGCGAAATAGCTCCTGAAGTAGGAACAAGCCAGACACGATAGCAGAAGGCTAAGAAGGCCAGTGTAGAATGAATTCATCAGAGGAGTAAGATATTGTTGGGATAGGAAGTGAAATGAACACCAGTAAGAAGTTCTTAGGTCATGGTAAAGACTTTGCTTTCATTTTGAATGAGACAGAATATTGCTGAGGAGAGATTTCAGTGTTAAAGGGATCACTTAGACTGATGTGCTAAGATTAGCTTGTGGTGGCTCAAGGATGGAAGCTGGAGAGAAGGAATGACTCACCAGGCCAAGTCAAGTTCCTCGACATATATGTTTACAATACCCTAAAGGTCCCCTGTGTCAGTTAATGAGAGTTATATTTATTTAGTAATGTAGTGTCTTTTTCCCCACAGCACTGAAATATCTAATGGGAAAAAGTATTTATCTGTTTTTATATCTGTAATGTCTTTTACAGGAAGTTACTCAATAAATATTTGATGAATAGAGGAATTAATAAAATTTATGGTATCTGATTTTACCAAAGTTAAAAATCTATTGTCTGTTTTTATCTATTACAGTAGAAATAAGTAATCTATTGATTTTTTTTAAAAAATTTAAACGTACTTTTAAGGTAATAAAATGTATTTTATGTGAGCAAAGGATTATGAGGTTCAGAAATACCTTAAAATACAACTTAGAAAAATAGTAAAATTAGCATTCCTAGTTTTATTACATACATATGGTACAGGATACTATGTAGTTAAAAAGATGAAGAGAAAAATTAAAATTGGAAAATGTGTCAAAATGCCCAATATGAAAGAGACAGGAGAACTCTAAGATACTTACCTGTGAAGTAAGAGCAAAGCTTTTCTGTTATGCTGAGACTCTAATTCCTTCTAAACCTCTTTCATTAGGATACATAAAAACAAAGTAAATATTATGGTATTCCAAAGACAAAATTAAACCAGAAAACAATGTTTCACAAAAGTCATGAAAATGAAATTTAGTTTCCAAGGTGTGTTATTTCATGGCATTTAAGCACACAGGTTTCTGAATCAAAAAGATCACCATTGACCAAGTAATTCTACAACTTCCCACCTATTTGATCTTGACCTCTGAACTTTGCCAATTTTCACATCACTTTTTGCAGCAGAGTTGGACTTGATCGTTCTCAGGACTCTGAATTGATTCTCCATGCTTTTGCCTTCCAACAACAGCCGTCAGAGAACCCACTCCCCACTGACAGATACCCTCAACTGGACAAACGATTACAGCTTGACTCAGTGTGGAATTCTCTGTTAAGAGTTGTATAACGCTCTGTGTTATTTATCTGAGCATTAAATGTTGCCTAATTGGGCCAGCGCTGTGGCTCACTTGGCTAATCCTCTGCCTGCAGCGCCAGCACCCCAGGTTCTAGTCCCGGTCTGGGTGCCGGATTCTGTCCTGGTTGCTCCTCTTCCAGTCCAGCTCTCTGCTGTGGCCCGGGAGGGCAGTGGAGGATGGCCCAAGTGCTTGGGCCCTGCACCCGCATGGGAGACCAGGAGGAAGCACCTGGCTCCTGGCTTCGGATTGGCGTAGTGCGCTGGTCATAGCGGCCATGTTGGGGGTGAACCAACTGAAGGAAGACTTTTCTGTCTGTCTCTCTCTCTCTCACTGTCTAACTCTGCCTGTCAAAAAACAAACAAACAGACAAAAAAGGTTGTCTAATCGTCCAGTCTAGAAACATGAGAGCTATGACTCTGACTTCTCTATTACCCTCCACTTCTATTTTTCAGTTACAACTGTTTACCTGTGTCATCTGTAAAATAGATCCATTAATTTCAGTACTGCTGCTGTTATTTTAAGATCACTCACATGGTACTTTTTTATTCTAGTCTTGCATATTTCTCCTGCATCTTCCAAACTGCTTCCAGAATGACCATCCTAAGTGAAATGAGCCCATGTGCATTACTGCATGAAGCTGGCCTGAGAATATGGCTCCCTAGTACAAATGCCTTACTTGTCATTCTTTTCACAATTCTCCCTATTCTGTCCTATAATATACTTGCAATGATTTTCTTGAACTCCTTTTAAAAAGGTTTTATCCTCTATCTCAAAGCCAACATTTATAGAAAAAGCTGTTCCCACCAGCATTGCCCTTTGGTCTACTGTAATTTTAACTTCAGTCCTTTGTTGCCTGAGTATCTGTAACTAATACTTCAGGAAGCAGCTCAAAAATCCCCCATTTCCTGCTCTCTTCCCTGCCACATCACAAAGCTGAGCTAGGGTCTTCTCGTATTCTCAACTCTCATCTCATGCACGTGTCCATCATTGTATTTAATTCAAATTTATAACCCCCACTAGATATATAACTATAAAAAATGAATAAAAATATTCTGTAATATTCACTGTAATTTATACATATATATGAGTCGTAGATCTGCAAATGAGAAGTCTTCAAAAGGTTCACAGAAAATATTATGAAAAAACTATACATAGTTTCTTTTTTGTACACATGGATTACAAAAACAAGTTTGTACCAAAAATAAATCGATCTTTTAATTATATTTTTCTAAGTCTTTGAAGTACTCATATACAGTAAATGACCAGATATACATCATGTCATATATGAGTGATTGAATGAGTTCAGTTACCCTTTCTAGCTATTATGAGAACACAAGGGAAAGGTGAACATTATTATTCTAACTCTCTCATTTTTTTTTTCAGGAATCACAACTGTACTTACAATGACCACAATCAACACCCATCTCCGGGAGACCCTCCCTAAAATCCCTTACGTGAAGGCCATTGACATGTACCTGATGGGATGCTTTGTCTTCGTTTTCATGGCCCTTCTGGAGTATGCTTTGGTCAACTACATCTTCTTTGGGAGGGGACCACAACGGCAAAAGAAAGCAGCTGAGAAGGCTGCTAGTGCCAACAATGAGAAGATGCGCCTGGATGTCAACAAGGTAAATTCTGAGGGCATGTCCCCCTTGCTTCTTAAACTTGTGGAAGAATGTTATGAGTTAATGACCTTGTTTGACAAATAAGGACAGGAAACCTCAGGAAAGAGAATGGGTAATTTTGTCCAATTCACACAGATTTTCTCCTGAAGCAGTTGAGGCACAATTATGTTCTTTCCACTAACAGTAGAATTGCCCAGACCACAGTCACCTGAAGACTACCCTTGTGATGCATTTCCACATATTTGTATGATGCCTACTATAATTTAATATAAATTTCTTTAAATTTGCTTATTTTCTTTAAACTAATTGAAGAAAGGAAGCTTTATATCACTCTAATCAACATATTGTTTCCTGGAAGATAACCTTATATAAAGAAATAAAGATATAAAAACTATTTGGTTAAGTTCTAACTTACTAGATGAAAATTGTGGGCAAGATTTGCTTCTATTTAATGTAAAATGGCAATTAGCAATAAAAGAGATGTATTAGAGACCCACAAGCAAGAAAACTGAAATTTTCTCCTTCAGGTAATCAGAAGGATAGAGAAGTATACAAGGAGAATTCATTTTCTCCTTAAGTAACATGGAACTACTTAATGCTTTGCACATACACCACTTATCATTGAAGCATATGACTTTAGGAGGCTACCCTCTTACTTAAGTCAGGTTTAGTCAAAGACATTCCAGACAACAGTAAACCCTGCTTTTTTTCAGTCGGTAGTTTGCAGTGTTGGGTGTTCAGTCTAATGACCTAGAGAAAGCTAAAAGTTTGAGAGCCTGAGTCTCTTCCCCACAGGCTGATTTGATTGACATTGGCTATGCCTGAATGCCATCATTTTCAGATGTCCCCCACCCAGGTTTTCCCAATCTGCAACCAAGTTGAGGCTTTTGACAGATGTCCCAGTGGAGCCAGCTCTCTTTGCTTCCTACGTTTAATTTCAGCTGGCTTCCTCTTACAGAACTTTCTACCCAAAAGATAATATTTGTATATGCATTTTCCTAGTGTGAACATTTTGATCCTTTGAAATAGACAAAGTCTTGTTTTAATATCTGGCCTACGTAGTGTTTATGTAGTGTTCGATTAAATAAATAGTTCATGCTGATGGGTCTAGGAAAGCAGTGATACTTTTCAACCAACTGGAATTATTAACCATAACAACAATTGATTATTTTGTTGATGCTGTGATATTTACAATAGCACACATAAATAATCACCCCCATTAGGATTTAGTTACAGAAAAATCTGTGGAAGCTTCTGACTCCAAATCTTTTCCACATGTTTTTTGGTCTGATGCTTGGTTTTGGACTATTCTGTAATCAAAGGCACTTATTTATCAAAATATATTTGTAATGATAGAAATTTTAAGTAAGGCCTTGAAAGCCCAATAAACTATGATTTAGCAAATTGTCAATTTATTTATGCCCAAGGTTTCACTTACAGGAATCTGTCAGTAGACTACAACCTATGAGTATTACATTCTCAACCTTTCATATTGCAGACTGCTTTTGTAAACCTATTTTATGATTTTCCTAATATTGTAGCTTTAGTAAATAAAACGGAATGAATAAATAAATAATTCTATATCAAAGACTGCAATTTAAAAATCAGTCTAACTCAGCCGGCTAACGCAAGGCTGACTTAATAACGTCTGATCTCTTTTCACTTCCATCTACCTATTTTTTTATGGCAATTTGCATTTAAATGATAAATTTGAGACCCAGATTATGGAGGTTTTACACAAACTGAAACTGGAGTATTTCAGATAGTTCTAAATTCAGCTATACTGAAAGGTAGAGGAAGTTTGACTGGGAAGGTACCCTACAGTGAAAACCTATTCTGGTGCTCCAAGTGGACCCACAATTCAGGTGATAGAAAATGAGAGACAGAAAAAATAACAAGAGGTGTTCCAGTGAAGCTATTTTTAAAATAAAGGCAGATTTGTCCCCCCAGAGGATTTTGGCAATGCCTAGAAACATTTTTGGTTGTCAGAACTGGACACAAGGGGCTGTTATTGGTGTCCAGTGTGTCAAGGCCAAGAATGTTGCTAGGAGTCCTGCAGTGCACAGAAAAGCAAAGAATTCTCCATCCTGTAGAGTCCAGTTCCCTGGCTCCAAACATGAGAAACCAAGGCCCAGAGAAATAAGTGTGTGCTATTTGCTATTTTTAATACTCTTTGACAGAATTCTTTTCTTTTTTTAAATTTTTTTATTTATTTGACAGAGTTAGACAGTGAGAGAGAGAGACAGAGAGAAAGGTCTTCCTTTCACCCCCTCAAATGGCTGCCATGGCCGGCGCTGCGCTGATCTGAAGCCAGGAGCCAGGTGCTTCCTCCTGGTCTCCCATGGGGTGCAGGGCCCAAGGACTTGGGCCATCCTCCACTACACTCCCGGGCCATAGCAGAGAGCTGGACTGGAAGAGGAGCAACCGGGACTAGAACCCGGCACCCATATGGGATGCCGGCACCGCAGGTGGAGGATTAATCAAGTGAGCCACAGTGCCAGCCCCTTTATTTTCTTTGATTAGTACATATAACAATCAAGATATTAGGAGTTATGATGTAGCATAGTGATTCTGAACAAATATTTTGGAATCAGGCTCAGTATTTCCCCTACCATTTATGAAACATCTATGTGAAAATAGTCTAAATCAGGGCCAGCGCCGTGGCTCACTTGGTTAATCCTCTGCCTGCAACGCTGGCATCCCATATGGATGCCGGTTCTAGTCCTGGTTGCTTCTCTTCCAGTCCAGCTCTCTGCTGTGGCCCAGGAGGGCAGAGGAGGATGGCCCAAGTGCTTGGCCCCTGCACCGGCATGGGAGACCAGGAGGAGGCACCTGGCTCCTGGCTCCCGATCAGCGCAGCACCAGCCACGGCGGCCATTTGGGGAGTGAACCAACGGAAAAGGAATACCTTTCTCTCTCTCTCTCTCTCTCTCTCTCTCTCTCTCTCTCTTTCTGTCTATAACTCTACCTGTCAAATAAAAAAAAAAGAAAAATAATAGGCTAAATCTGCCTTGGTAGTTCTTCAGTCTCCACCTCTGTAAAATGGGGCTAAAATCTCACATAAAGTCCCATGAAAATTATTGTAATAATATATGAAGAGGATAACATAGTTCTTAGAAAATGGTAAAAAGGAAATGGTAGCTATGAATAAAATATGAAGATACTCTCAATGGTAGATACTATTACCTTTTAAATAAAATTTGTTGTCTCCAGCCCAAATAGCAGTGCTTGCTTATGTGTTTTACATAGTCTAGCCTGTAGGATGGATTGCATCCCTAAGAGAGAAAATGTTTTTGTGTCAGAAGTTTTAACAAAAAAGCAAGGAAATAATTTTTCAGTGGATATTAGTTTGAAATCTAGAGCAAACCAATTACTTCACACTTTATCAGTCCTTTCTCAGGATAGAACACCTACAACCATCCTGATTAGATTGAAACAATAAGGTGCTCATCTAACATGGCAAACCCCCATGGCTCCCTTTTTCACCCAGCTTTTAATCCTCATGGGTTTCGATTGAGCAGTGCTGTCCTATGTGGCAGCATCATGAATAATGCCACTCTTTCCTATGAAGAATGTTCCCCTTTCCAACTGTAATTGTAAAGCTATTTTTCAAAGATGGAGCACATATAATCAGCTAAGTATTGTTGGCTGCTCTGGAGAAATCAGTTGCTAGGAGAGGAATAGGATTTTTCACCTCCCTTTGATTGTTTCCTAGAGATGGAAGCACTGTGTCAGATTATCTAACATGATTTTTAAGTTTGTTCTGAGTTCAGAGAGGGAGGAAATGAGAAGCTGCCAAGGTGGGAGCCTATTGTTGCTTCAACAATTTCTTCCACGTTTCCCAGTCTCTCATATGCATTCATTCTTACATTTTTGTTTGAAGAAGAGAATTTGCAGCTCTTTATTAAAGCAATTCCTGTCCTGTTATTAAATTGCATTAGTTAAGGTTATGTGCAAAGGCAACAAACGTTCTGAGATGTGCTCTGAATTTTCCTGTCCTTATCCAGTGACTATCCCACTGTGTTAGCAGATGAAAAAAAAATATAAAATGAAAGAGTAAAGCTTATTCCATACTAGTCCATATGTGGTGTTCAGCTCAGTTGATTTCATTTGAAAGATATCCCACCTTTATGCCTATGAAAGACCATAAACAAGTGTCATTTTCACAGTTGTCTTCATGTGACAAATAAAGTTGTAAAATACTAAGATTTCTTTGTATTTATTTTGAAGGTCAGAGTTGCAGAGTGAGAGAGGGAGACACACACATACACACACACACACACAGAGAGAGAGAGAGAGAGAGAGAGAGAGATTCCTTCAGCTAGTTCACTTCCCAAACAGCCACAACAACCAGGGTTGAGCCAGGCCAAAGCCAGGAGACAGTAGCTTTATCTGAGTCTCCCACATGGGTGGGCACATGGTCTCCTACATGGTCCAAACATTTGGGCCATCCTCTGCTGCTTTTCCCGTGCCATTAGCGGGCAGCTGGATTGGAAGTGGAGTAGCTGGGATTCCAACCAACACCCATATGGGATTCTGGTATCTCTCCTGTGGCTTTCGCACTATGTCACAATGGTGGCCCCAATTCTAACCTGAGATGTACTAAATATTTCTCCCCGTGTCCTTTAGAATAGTTAAAAAATGTAATCTCTCTTCTAGTAGAAGGAAAGCTCTTCCTATTAGCCATTGTATTCTTTGGTTTGTGTATGTGTATGTGTTTCCTAGTGGAATTGCTTTTGATTGATTACATCCATTGTTTTTGCTCATGCCTTCAAGTTTTCAACTCTCATTTCCTTTCAACTTGATGTGGTTTCCTTGTTTATTTTTCTGCCAAGTACTAAATACATGCATATTTGAAAATCTAGTTATTCCTGACTTTTCATCACTTTGGTTATTGCAAATTTGAAATACCTCCAATATCCTTATTGTGTTGAGAAGCCAATAACTACCAGTTTCCCAAATAAAGCTTCACCAGAAATCTCCATTTGAAGGTGCTCTGTATTCTGGCTTGATGGTTGTTGTAACACTCTGTGCTATCTCTACTCAGGATGCCTAATTTCTGTCACGCAAAGCCACTAAGATCTTTTAAATCTATTTCTGCTACTAGAATTAGATTTTTTTATAAAGAATAGATTTTAAAATAACAATTAATTAGCAGTCCCATTCTGATGCTAAAGACCAGTAGCATTTATCTATGTCCAATTTACTTTAACTACCACTCCTAATACAGTGGCATCAGTCAACTTATTAGCACATTCTCTACTTTGTCTTCCAGATTTTTTATAAAGATATTAAACAAAATGGGACCCAATCTCGATCCTTGTGGTACCCTACTGGAAACCTCTCCCCAACTAGACGGACTACCAATTACGATTTCTCTCTATATACGGTTAGATAGCCAGTTTTTAATCCATTTATTTGTATTTCTGTTGGAGCCAATTTGTTTAGCTGTTCTCTTTGAAATAACGTATGGAGTCTTTGCACATAAACTCTGGAAATTGTATTCTCAGAGATGTCAGGATAAGTTAAATGTTTTCATGAAACCCTAGTGGTGTTTTCTGGTTTTTTTTTTTCTTTTTTAATATAAATATGGAGAACCTATGCCTCAGTATTCCATTGAGAAATTATTGTTGTGCTAGAGAAAGAAATCAGATGGATTGTACTGCAAGGATTGTATGTCATTATGTACTCTGGCATTTTTGAGTTTTGTTGTGGTGGTAGCTTTTTGTTTTGTTTTCAGTTTGGTTAGTTAAGTACATAAGAAAGAAAACATTTATTCTATTGGTTGGTTCAGAATTCAGGAGCCTCTGTTTTCCGTCCTAACTGTTAATTGTGTCTGTCTATGTTATACTTGCATCAAGTCCTTGTTTCCTTATTATTATTTACTTTATAAATAAGTATTCTCTTGGCACCCAACACTGTTATATTGATAGATAAGAGATAATAATTGAAATTGTTCCTTGTCAAACTCTTGACTGGAATGAATTCCGAAGAATAGCTCTTTTTGGCTACTTCTTTGTTTCTGAATCTTCATGTGTTTGCAATCTTAGTTGGCAAATTATCATTCATATTCACTCTCCAAATTGGAGCAGGAGGATAATAATTGTAACCATTCTACTTTATATGCTACTTGTCCAACTCAGTTTCTTTTTATTTCTTGATGATGCAGTGAATGGTATAGAATGTTTGTGAATCTTTCCTATGAGGACTTGATGCCAGATTAGTTTCCATTATTATATCTTCAAAGTGTCATGCTCTTCCTGAATTTATTTTTCTGACTTCAAATTCCTTGATGTTCATTGTTAAGGTGTTTAGAATGGGGGACAGGTATGGATAATCTATTAAACTTTACTTTATCTTGGTATTTTTTTTTTTTACTTCAGAGCTTCTTATTTTATATGGTAAGAGTTTGATAAATGGCAACGGTTAGATTTTAGTAGATGAGATGTTTGAATCACCCTTTTAGTCAGCACTTACTGTTGTCTGTGCTCTTAGACTATCTCAGGCTATGTCATTTCTGCTGGTTTTTTCTAATTTCACTATTTTTGTTGAAATTAAAGTAGATTGATTTGATTGGACAGTATTCTGGGTAGAATGTTAATCATGTAGAAGAAAATGTGAATGAATTGGGAATTTGGATTTATGGTGAAAGTTGCTGCAGATTGCTGCATGTGTCAAACCAAAATGAAAGCTGACTGTAGATTAGTCTAACGCCTGGTGACAGTCATAGGAAGTCAAAATATCCTCAGAAAGGGAGCAAATGAAGAAAATGTGCCTCTTGGGTGCATTAAACTCTTTAGTTGATGGCTTCAAAGAGTTAATGCTGTCTGATTCCATGATTTGGACCCTGATTTGTCAAGATTTCTTCCTGTTTCATGAAATATTACATTAATGAAACTGTTCAGTGATTTACATTGAAATATTAATTTTAACATCTTCTGTTCTTATATTTTCTATTGGGTGTGTTTTTTGAATATGATTTTATTCTGTCCTTTGATTCCTCTTTAAGCTTCTATTTATAGTATGAAATAGGGATTAGTATTCACAAGTTCAAATAATAGGCTTTTTATTAAACTGGAAACCTATGAAAATGTCAAAATTCCAGAGTATGTGACAATAAGAGACAGTAGGAAGGTGGGTGTATTTTGGAGTGAGAATATCCTAGGTTTATATTCAGGCATTGTCTTTATAAGGTGTGTGACACTGGATATAGTTAACCTTTAACCCTTTTAGTTCCTCAACTGAAAGTACTACTTTCTGCCTTATGGAGCTGCTGAGAGAATTTAGTGCAACAATTATGTTAAGAGCCTTAAAGAGTAGCAGAAAAAGAGCACTCAATAGTTGCTATTATTATAGGGATCCATGCAAGGAGAGTGTATTTTTCTGTTTTTTTTTTCTCTCCTGTTTAGCTCTATTACTGTTATTGCAGTTATAAAACTAATCCATGATCATTCTTAAAAATACAAACAAGAAGCCAAGAACACCACCTGTACTCCCTGCAGAAAAATATAATTATTATTAACCTTCACATACTTAGAGACATACTTTTACATTAACAACTATATGCTACTATTTTGTAACTTTTTTCCTACTTACTTTTTCATTCTTTAAGTCCAAGTATACATCATCTCTAGTAGCTGTAAGATATTCTGTTGACTCATGCACCATCATTTCTTTGGCATTTTTTCCTTGGACATTTATTTAGATGATTACATTGTTTCATAGTGGTTTTCTACTATTATCAGCTCTAAAGTAAGCATCACGTCACTGACTTGTTTGCACAGCACTGATTCCTAATACATTTCTTAGGATAGATTTGCTGAATCCCAAGTTATGTGCCTTAAAATTGGTGATATATATTACCAGGTGGTTCCGCAGAAGTCCTACTGTACTTTGCATACCTACTATCATCATGTGAGAGGGTGGCAGTACATTCATATACACAGATCATTCACACGTGTGTACACACACAACCACTGTGCCTCTAAAATAAGGGAGACACACAGACACACACACACAACGAACATTAAACTGTATTCTCTTACCAACAGTATTGGAGAAGTGGAGAGACAAAAGGGTCCCCAAATCCATGTACAGTTTCTCTCCTCATTTTCTGAAAGCCATAGGGAGTAAAAGAGCAACAGAAAAAATGAAACCAAAGGAGTCAAGACCCATCTCTACAAGAAGCAGTGCTGCATGCGCATGGCCTGTATTATTGCAAGCAGAATGAAGGGCCTGGCAGCTGTTCAAGAAACTGACCAAATTGCCAGGGCAGGATGGCAAAGTGCAAGGCAAGAATTCAGTGTGCAGGCAGCAGGGAATGATTCTTCCATTGAAAGGAGAAAAGGAACGTTTCAGGACAAGTCAGAATTTTCTATAACAGCTTTATTTTTCTCACCAAAAATTGAAAGAAAATGTGAAAAAAAAAATCCAGAACATCAACAACAAATAATAAGGAAGAGGAGATTAAAAGGGAGAAAATGTAGGCTTGCAGTTGACTGGTTCTGGCAGTGCTTTGCAGGGCAGAAGGCATCTGCCAGTAACATATTCTTATAGTAATAGGCCTGTTAGGAGACAGAGGGTGTGGGCAGAGGAGTCTTTGGTTTAAGACTGCTGGCTGGCAGAAGGGACTCCGTTTCATTAAGTATGTAAATATTGACAGATGAGAGAAGTTAAAACCAAGAGATTGTCTTCAAACAGTGTTTGCAGTGAGTTGTCAACGCAGAGCTGTGCAAGACAGGAAGACCTGGGAATGAGCAGATATCTTGTTGGCATAGATGTCATGAAAAGGCAGAACACAAAGAATGATAAAAAAGAGAAAAAAAATAATAACATTCTTGAGTACAAGGGTGTTAGACGGTAGGAGATCCAGCAGGGATTGTGACAAGGAGGACTTCACTTGGGAGACCAGTGTGGCCTCACTGACTCCCCCCAGAGGAGGGTCTGTCCTGCTGGAAGAGTTCCAGAGGAGATTGATGACTTGGCTGAGTTCAGAGAGGAAGGTGGCTGATATAAACCAAAAGGAGGTATCATCTCGCTAATCTTTGTGGAAGGGAAGGTGTACCTTTGTGAGGGTGTGAAAACAGTTTAGGAGATGAGAAGTGTGAGTAGCAGTAGCTATGTGTACCGTTTAACAACTCGACTCATTAGGGGAGTGGGAATGTGATCCTGTAACCAACATGGGAATTACTTTGGATTTGTAATCTGGATGGTTCTAAAATTTGTCTTTGATTATTCACAGATAATATAGATTCTAGTTTATAAGCCTGAGTTACTTTATATTTGCTTTTCAAAAGGCATTAAATAGGATTTTTTTGTTCCTCTGTCTATAGAGATGAGAGAGAAAGAGAAAGTGCAAAACAATCTATAGAAACTAAGAAATTAATCTAAACCACTAATGTTTTGCAGCAAATAATCAAGGCAGTTATACCAAGTTCAAGCTATTAGAAACCCAGGTCAAATGCAGGCAAAAAAAGTTATAGAGACACTCACTTAGAGGATTAGAGGAAACATTATAAATACAAAGGATGATCCTGTGAATTAAACATGTGGAACCTTCAGGTTAATGAAGTATAGAATGGGATATAGGGCATAGAAAATGTGAATCTAATCTTAGTAACTAATTATAACAATGTTGACAATAACATACACTCCTTAAATACCTACTATGTGCTTAAAGACTTCACAAATTATGTGTTGACATAGTTCTTATTTTTATCCTACGTTGTTGTCATAATAATAATTTTCCAGATGATGAACCAAGACCTAAGCAGCATAATTTATTTGCTTAAGTTTAGACAACTTAAAAATTATTGAGAAAAGGTATGACTATAGAGACTGAGCTCTTAACTGTTGTGCTATACAGTATATATTTGTAATATATACTATAGAGTATATATATATATCCAGTATATATATTTGTAATATATACTATACAGTATATATTTGTAAATACACGGTATTTGCAAATGAAGTTAATATTAATTTGCTATATGTAAAGATTCCAAAAAGATACACTGTGTTACAAGATAAAAATTATGTAATCTCACTAATGATTATTATATTTGTCTGAAGTTATTAAACTTCCTGTAAGGAAGACTGAATAAACTATAAAAAATAGAGTAAAAAATTAGGTTTCAGACTGTTCATAGTAATATTAAATTTTATGACAATAAAAAATGTTTAAAGTTTCTGAGGGGGGAACATATTAGTTATATATGAAGGCAAAAGAAAGGTATTTTGTCCTCAGTGTGCACAGTCATAAATATAGCATTAATGATTCCTTATTTAAAATAAGCAATAACAAAATAATGCAGGAAAATATATTCAAAATGAGGAATATTACCAGCTTCCTGCCACTGCACACCCAGGGAAATAATGGTGATGGCT